TTTTTTAAATATTGGGCATAGTATTGCCGTGTTCTACTCTCCTGGCATTACTTCGGTTTCCCAAATTTCCTTAATCATTTTCCAAATTTCATCTTTAATCGTATTTCCTCCATTTTTTAATAATTCCGCAACTACGTTGTTTTCTCCAGATGATTTGTTGTTTTTAAGTTTTTTTATGATGTTATAGATTTCCTGTTTTGTTGGAGTTTTAATATATGGTTCCGCTGTACTATATTGCATAGRTATATCTTCATGTGTTGGTATTGGTGGTGTTTTATTTAGTAATCTTTCGAAATGTTTTTTAAATTCTTCTACTACAGATTCTTCTTTTGTTACTAACTCACCTAGTTCATTCCTTAGGATCCTAGTCTGCGGTTTATATCCCTATTTAATGTTGGCAGTTTTGCTAAAGAATCTTCTGGAGTTATTTTTATTTTCTTCAATTTCCTCAATCTTTCTTTTTTCCGCTAATCTTTTTTCACATCTTAGTACTTTATTGGTTTCTTTTTTAGTATWTTTATATCTTTCCAWATTTATGTCACTTGGGTCCTTGATAGTTTTTTCTCGTATGCGGTTTCTTCTGTCTATTGCTTCCTTGCACCTATCATTAAACCATTCTTTTCTTTTTTCTTGTTTTCTTATTCCTAGGCAATAATTAGCACTATTGACTACCGCCGTCTTGATTCTGTCCCATATCCGTTCTGCATCTTCATCTRCATTACTGTTGGATTTTTGTAATTCTTGTTGAGTTTTACAGATGTATTCCTCTAGAACCTTCTTTTCTGACAGTTTTTCTATATCGTATTTTACGAATTTTACATATTTTACCTTTTTCCATCTTTCAGATAGCCTAATTTTAAGTTTTGTAATTACCAGGTAATGATCCGAGTCGGCGTCTGCACCTCTATAGCTCCTGACACTTTTTATGCATCCTTTATGCTTATTTTGTATCATAACGTGATCAATTTTGGTTTTTTGTTATTCTATTAGGTGCTATCCAAGTTTGTTTGTATATATCTTTCCTTGGAAAGTATGTACTACTAAGGGTAAAACCGTTCGTTATACATAGGTTGATCAATCTGGTTCCATTATCGTTACTTACGTCATGTAAGCTATTYGGTCCAATCGTTGGTCTATATATATCTTCTTTTCCTATTTTTGCATTAAAGTCACCTATTAATATTTTTATACAGCTATTTGGTGTTGTGTCAAGTATGTGTCCTAGTTCATCGTAAAACTCATTCTTAATATTTTYTTCTTTCTCTTCAGTTGGTGCATATGCGTTTACGATAATGCTATCAAAAATGTGACCTGTGAGTCGGATATAGCATATTCAGTCATTTACTGCCGTGAATTCTTTTACTTGTGGTAGCGTATCATCGCTCACTACAAATCCCACACCATTTTCATGTCTTCCATCCTTTCTTCCRCTATAGAATATGGTTTTATCATCTTTTTTCATATTTCCGTCATTTGGCCATCTAATTTCTTGCAGAGCTAATATGTTCGTATTATATTTTTTAATAGCGTCCAGTAAGTACTGTAACGCTCCAGGTTTGTTTAAGGTCCTAACATTCCATGTACCAATTTTTATTCCATTTTCCAGTTCCGGTCGTTGTCCATTAATCCAATTCCGAGGCTTATTTTGTGGTTTCTTAACATACTTTTTTTCTGATGTAGGGTTGTCCCCCAACCTGGAGCACCAGACTACCCCAACCAATTAAGGTCAGGGTAGGGCTATTGAAATGTACTAAGGTACATTGGGCGACGGGCGCGCTACTTTCCCTACGCCAAAAGTTTGTATACTTAATAATAATAAAACAACAACTAGATGGATCATGTAGTTGATTAGATACCTATTTTTAGATTAATCTACGCAATATAAGGTCTAATTATATAACTATTATTTAGTTGACAAAAGTAATACATTATTTTTAATAACAGCAATTATCCAAAAGTTTTTGCACATATAAGAAAAAGAATTTGATGTTTCAAAGATATGGAATCTTTAAACATAAAACTAATTTCATAATTATTGTAACCACCAAAAATRGTACCGTTGTGGAACCMTTTATAATATAATTAATGATTATATTGAAAATTGAATTTATGTTTTTTACTTCARTCCCCTATTTAAAACTTCTTGGTAGCTTTCAGTTAACATAAAAATAATTTAATGTTCGATGAAAATTKAATAGAAATAATTTTTTCATGAATAAATGTTACGCATAATTATATATTTTTTTATCAAATAACTTTTTTTTAAATTTGTTTTTGTTGGTYTTGTTTTAGAATCGTATGCTTATAATATATAGATAATATTTTTGTGTTCGTTATATCTGCCAGTGCAATATTCATAACTTACATTGCTATAAATGCCAATACTGCTGATAATTTAATCTTATATGATTTACACGTTCATTGGCACATACGCTGACGATACTCTAATATCGGCGTCACATCACRATCCTGAAATTKCTAGATTAAGGATCCAAAACCACCTTAACATGATTAACTTATGGGCAAATCGTTGGAAAATAAAAATAAACGAAACCAAATAAATTCACGTAAAATTCACTTTACGAAACTCTGACTACCCTCCAGTTACACTCAACAACAAAGTCCTTCCTTCAGCAAACGAAGTTAAGTACTTAGGGCTCACATTTGACAAACGTCTTACGTGGGGTCCACACCTAAAACTAAAGCGGAAACAAGTTTACTCCAGGCTGCACCTCCTTAGATCCCTTTTAAAATCTAAACTATCCCTAACAAACAAGGTGACAATATGTATATAAAGCGATAATCCGCCCGGTCTSGCTCTATGGCATTCAGCTATGGGGGTCTTCAAAGCCTTCCAACACTAGAACTCTACAAGCTTTTCAATCAATATGCCTACGCCTAATAACCTCCGTCCCCTGGTACGTAACAAATAAAAATCTCCACAAAGATTTAAATCTACCTACCCTTAACGATTTAGCCAAAACCCATTATACCAAATTCTTTTCCAAACTCCACACTCATTACAACCCTTTAATCCAAAAATTATCCTCTGCAACACACGCTCCCAAAATACTAAAAAGGCATGGCCCCGAGACATGCTCAAAGCATAAAATACAAAAAAAAAAAAAACAATTAAAACTATACCTAATAATTAACTTAATGTTTCTTGTTAGGTGGCACTACTGAGGGCCTTCCTTTTATAATATTCTTAATGTCATATAAATAAAATTGTTTCGTCATACTTACTGATTATTGTAAAAATAGATTGTAAATATATTCTTCTAAATAAAAAAAACAAATCTGTGAGAAAAAAAAATCTTTATGATGCTGCCGTTGACCATTGTCATTGTTTACTAAAACTTTTCGACACTAACAATATTGATTTAACATCTTTTTTTAAATTCTATCATTTACCTATGAAGTGAAAATGATTGAACTTCATAATATCATAAAGTAAATATTATATTTAATATAATACATGTTTAGCTATGAGATATTAGGCAAGTAGGTATTCATATACAAGTAGTCATATTACAATAATGACAATTGGAACTTAAATAATTTGATTAGGCAGTAAAACATTAACAATATTGATTATATTTTATAATAGGATTATAAATTACGTTCAGACACAAGGAACATAACTCGGAGGGTGTGTTTTTTCATACTGTTTAAAATTATTATTGTATTCGGAAGCAATGAATTGTTCAAAGTAACACTAAAATCCCCAAAGATAGCTTGGCATTTAATGCGTTTTATTATTGAATACATTTCCTGTTGTTTATTTATAACTGTATAATAATAATAATAAAAAATATTATTTAGTTGGATATTGGTTGCACCTAAGCCGTTTACTGCCAAATATCAACACTGCTGATATCCATAGACTTCTTAATAAAAGTTTTTATAACTTTTCCCCGTGGAGAGTAAAGGGTGGAAAAAGGACGGAATACTTTTGTCGTTAAAACTTTTACTGTCGTAATAGAAACATGTTCATTTTAATTATTTGTCACAGTTGGTTACAAAAGGATAACAACGGAGAGTTTGCAACTAGAATTTGAATTAATTATCACATATATTTGTCAGTTCTATCTGTTGTTGAATCGTAATTCTATCAACATTGAATCATAAAATTATACATTTTTGTCGGTAAAATATTTGTGAATAATATCAAATTCACACAAAAAAGCATAATATTTCAAACGAACATTTACAAAAGCATAATATATGTTTACTCGATATAACTTAATCAGTCACTTTTTTATTCTGCATCACGAGTACCTACTTAAAACCACTGATATTTCATAGCGCATAATACATTATTAATGAAATCAATTAATTTTGTGATATTTTTGGCTCTAGAATATTATTTTCATAGAGACTCCTCTCTAAAATGGTAAAAATTTTGTACCTTGTTAGTTTAAGTTAGTTCTTGTTAATTTGATAATTTGTCGTTTCATCAAAACTTAATTGTATATTTATAAAATTAACAAAGTTCAACAAATGTCAACGCTAAGTATAGGCTTTTTAAATGTCATCCTTTGGACGAGTATAAGAAACACTATCCCTTGAGTGTAAAGTAATACATGCATCGTTTCCCTAATTGTCATTTTTGAATGACTTTACAGTCATATCATTTTTTAAAAGCTTAAATTAAATTKAAAGTACAGACTATAACATATTATACTTAGGATAAATCAATTATTGATTCATATATACGATTATTTTAATTTTTATTGAGATTTTAGTATATTGAGTGTTCTATAAACGTTTTGAAGTGAAATAATTTTACATTATTTTAAATATTTAACTATAATTTATAAAATATATGTTTGAACAGCGTTTTTCACGTTTGTCTAACGTTGAAAAAGAATTACTCAAACAATATCAACAAAACGAATATATACATAACACTAAAAATTATTTAAAACGTACTTATATTTAAAGTTAACAATGCATTTACTATTATTATTTTCATTATAAAAATAATTGTTTTTCAGTTCAGACTGAGGCTAGAGAGCGGATTACTTGTACTCCGTGGACGTCTAGGCTACCAAAAATGGCGCAACCCGATTTGGATTATATAGGTGAGTCTGATGGTATTATATAAATTATTCATAATAATATTATAGGGATGCTGTATTATATTATAAATCAAATAACTTAAATTAGTACGGTTATGGATTCTACGTGACACTACAAGTTTTAATTGATTTMAAGTACCGTTTTATGGATCAAAATCAAAATTTGAGCAAATAATTGTTGARTTATACAACATTGTGTACTAAGGATAATATATTTTTTGGTAATATTATTAGWAGATTGAGAGCTTAGATGATTTTACATTGTTAGTTATTACTATTGATCTATCAATAAAACTATTTCTTAAAAATTATACAAGTATAWTAAATAATACATCTAATATTACAATATATATCTATACCCTTGTAAAACAATTTTTAACAATAATTATTATCCTTCGTATTAATTTGAAAATAATTCAGAAACTACTCAATAGAATTTTGATTAAAATACAATAAAATCATTCAGAAAAACATAACAACTTGAAGTAGAAAAGAGAGATTTTCATTTAAAAAAATAGAAGTTTATATTATTGTAGGTAAAGTAGTAATAAAAAATTTAAAAAATTTGAAACTATGGAATTTAAGTATACTTAACAATTCTAAAAATCAATATTTGAATAAATGTTCTATTAAAGAGAATCATGTGGTAAACTATGCTTAAAAAATCATTTTATGCCGTAATTTATAAAATAATATATTTGTCCCTAATTCTTTTTTTWAATGTATGCTTTCTCTAGCTCCAGAAGTCCAATTGTCTTCATATTGTAGTTCTCACAGCGATATGTTCTCGTTGGGAATGGTTATATTTGCGATATTCAATAACGGTCGACCWCTGATACAAGCGAATCACAGCAGCTCAACGTACATGAAACAATTAGACGTGGTGAGTTGTAATTAAAAATGTAAATGCTAATAGTGATAATAACTGGTATGAAGAAAACAAATTACGATTACTGTTTGATATTATTGTCAAATTAATTTTAAAACAAGATTTTACAATTTTTAATTACCAAACAATTTTCTTTTGGAATAATAATAAAATCGATGTAAAATGTATGTGCATTCAAAATATCAGTTGTATAACACAGACAAAATGTGTAAAGAAAAAACTTTTTTTATTTATGGCAAATAAATGCGTTGAATAATGAAATAAATAATATAACGCACTACTTATAAAATTCAGCTATATAAACAATAAGATTTGTTAAGAAATTTAATATTTTTAACCCAAATATAATATTTACRGACAAAATAAATTTAAAAAATAATCTGGATGTAATATACTTGGCTCATTGATATAGGTTAAACAGATTATTGCATGGAGTTCACAATAATTATGTGACCTGAAAAGGAAGCGTACCTCTAAAAATACGCAAATACAACTTATATCATTAATCATTCGAATATACAATAAAATATAGGTATGCAGTATTTTTTGCAACTTATACTTATATAAACATATTAAATTATAATAAATTTACCAACTAAGATTCTCAAATGGTCGAAAGCATAATGTAACAGTTAATTACGAAATGAAAAATAATATAAAACGTGTTTTATTGTTATTCATAATAATGTATGTTTGATAATCATCGATGGAATATAAATAAATATAAAGTAACATAATAATGCAAATTTGAAATTTAAAATTTAATTATACACATTTTTTTTTTTTTTTTGAATCAAGACAGGGTGGTAAAATATAGTTACTTTATCAATATTTTCGAAAACCTTTTATATTTAAAGATTATTTTATAGTAATAAAAACATTATTTTGACTTTAATTAAAAAATGAAAAGTTTTAGGGTTTTAAAATCATATTATTATTTCGTATAAAAAACTCGTTAAAATAAATCAATAGATATTTCAAARTGTTATCGTTGCCTCTTGAATAAACATAAACTCGGTGTTTTTTTAATTTAGTCTAATTTTTAAGGTCGTTTACTTCCTTTATTTAAATTTTATTTTAACTCAGATTTAACTTCTTTAGTATATTTATGCTGAGCGTTGTTACTGGTAACTGATGTATAAAACCATTAGCACTTTGCATCCCAGTGTTACACTTGCAGTGTATTACAAATTACATGAACAATMGTTTTGATTATTAAGTTTTAATTTCTTACTGTACACAATGATGTTCATCGCACTTTGGTTATAATAATTATTGTGCTGTTGAATCGTTGCATTAATATGAATGCAGCAATTAAACGTTAATCAGTATAACTACAGTTATTAGGTATGAATGATTATAACGTGTTTATTGTAGAAACAACATGCGTAAACTAAATGTCATGCGAGGCACATACGTTGCGTATGGTAGGACAATCCCCCACCATATATATATATATATATATATATATATATATAAACATTATTTAATACGTAACAGTGTAATAATATTATTAAATATAACCATTTAATCAATTTTGGTACTTTCGTTAAAATTTACGAGTGTCCAAATGTTGACTCTTTGTTCTTTATATAAATTGTATGAATGACTTCTGATGAATGATAAAYTATGTGTGATAAAATGTGTCAGTTTTTCTATTTATTCATCTCAGAGGTAAAAACAAAAAAAATCCAATATTTAAGGATTCCACAGTTTGACTAAAAATATAATATATGTAAAATCTTTTAATTAATCTACTTTATAATATAATTCAAATTTTAATCGATTATGTCATGCGACAATGTTCTTGTAGTTTCATAGAACTAATTATTATTATTTTAATACAATGTAATACATTCATAATTAAATTAATAATTATATTCATAATTACAATAACCTTTAGCAGTTGAATAAACTTTTATAATTGTGACATTGGGATTTTATTTTGTATTGAGCGTATGGTGTCATACATTTTTTTTAATTCAAAACAAAAATTCAAAAATTAGGGTCTTAAAATTAACGCAGTTGATCCAATATTCAAAACTTAAATACTCATACGTTTACAAAAGATTAATTTCAGTTAATACAATAAGAAACCCGTAATAATTAATTAAATCTGCACTGCAATTTGGAATTTAAATGTAGACTACTTTTAGTATCACACAAATAATGAAAAATAATATATTCAATGAAATAAATATTTATCATATTAACATAACATTTTTTTATGCTTATATATTTTTTAAAGTGACTTAGTCAAAATCATTATGGTACGAAAATTCGTAAATAGATAATAAAAATTACTGCTGAGTAGTTACTTAATACTTTATATAATTTATATAAAATCTACAATCGTATTTTAAATAAAATTATAAAAAATGTTCTAATATATTATTAGAATAACAATTGAATTGAATTAGAATACCTTTTTCAGCAACGCTCAACAACTTAAAGGCTGTTGGGGAGAATCTAGGTCAAAAAAAATAAATTAAAAATATTAACCTTGCAGTAAGTTATCTTATTTAACATATAATATTACGGTTAGGTTAGTTTGCAGAGTTTGGATTTTTTTTTATAAATCAAAACATACACAATAAACTGACTTTTAATAATATTAATTTATTCATAATCAATAAACATCACATCAACTTTATAATTCGTAGAAATGTGTGAATTTACATTGCTATAAATTTACTATACTGTAACCATGAAYTCAAAATATTTTCCAGTCATTTTATTTACTTTAAAAGAGAAAATTGTTTTTAAATGCGTATAAATTGTGTTTATATTTTTATTTTTATTTTAGTTAGAAAATCAAATCCATAATGTATTGCCTAAACTCCCAGCACAATTACAAGAAATGGCAACCAAAATGCTGAGCAAGGACGTGGATGCAAGACCGTTTGTCAAAAATTTATTGCATACTCCTTATTTCTGGTAAAACACTATATTCATATATTTAACGTTATTAATAATAATTTAATAGTTATAACTAGTAAATACTTTAAATTAATTTAGTTTTAGAAATGGTTTTTCTAATGTGGGTACAGTTTGATAAAATTAGTTCGTATTGCAATTGATGATGATGKTGGTGGTCTAATGAAGATTTATTATTATAATTATTTTTTTAAGTACATTTTCTGAATATTCATTGTCAAATTGCACTTTAAACATGATAGTTTTGTCAAATCGATTATTATTTATTGATATTGTATGTTTTTTTTAAAGTAACAAAATAAAAAAAAAACTGGAGTTAAAAATAAAAATAGTTGTGTTGTAGTAGTATTTGTTTTTGCACATCATGTTTAAGTTTTTTACAGCGGAATAATATGTTTGACCACTTGACCAGTAATATTCAAAAAATATTTGTATTGATAAAAAAAAAATTAAATCCAATCAATTAAACATCATACCAAATCAAACCTTATTATGTATTATGCATAGAATGTCTTACGTCTATGGATAATAAATTTAATTATAGTTTAATGACCGAACGGTAACACGTGTAAGCTTCGTCATAACCAAATGTCCAAATATAACACATAATAATAAATTACAGAAAAAAATCATATTTATTGCTTACTTGCCTATTATCAATGATTATAAATAGTTATAGAACTGTATAAATTAAAGTATTTATATATATTTTTTCGGTTAACGCTTATCGTAAATGAATTCTTAATTAGCATTAACTTTTACTAATGTCTGAAAATTATTAATTATTATATTATATACAATGCATAATTAATTGATTCAACTTTGTATTCAAATCATCATTATGCTGGTGGAGGCGTGTGATAAGGCCTTTGAGGAATTTCGACATTTAAAACTAATAGCGGCGGAATTCGTGTCGTCCCACATGCTATACACGTTGACATCGTCTGACACGTGGTACAGAGTGGCAGTGTCTTACAAGTGGTACAAAGTGGCAACGTACGACACGTGGTAAACGGTGGCAGCGTCCTACAAGACGTGGTACAAGATGGTGACATAGATCGACATGTCAAGCACGGTGATAGCGTAGTCCGATAAGTCGTGTACGGTGGAAGTGTAGTCCGGCAAGTGGTAGGTGACGAAAAATTCCGGTATCCGGTGTATGACGGTAAAATCCGGCTTGTAGTGCACGCTAGTGATGTCCGGTGGTTCAGCCATGGAGTCATAGTGCGCCGAGACGGACATGTCGTTGAATAGATAGTTGACGATGACGGGCGGAATACGGTAACTTGTGGACAGTCGATGTGTGATGGGAAGTAACCGGTTACTTTCGAATCGTCGAGGTACGGTGGACGGCATCTGGTTACCTGCGAACCAACGAGTGGATGAGGGTATTCAGATACGTGTGAACTGACGACACGTAAACAGTCACAAATCGATGGCCGTGACGATCGAACTTTTGAATCAGCCATATACGTCATTCCCCTCCAATTTTCCGTTACATAGTTCAATTTCAACTGTGGATCAGGGGGTACGTGATTCAAAAACACAATCTTACACATTGATTCTAAAAATACGCCAAAAAGCAGACCTAATATTGTAACTGAAAACATCTTCACTCAAAAATCTGAGTTATGTCCTAAAAGGAACAGATCGGATGGTCGGAAAATAATATGTTATAATATTCAATTTATTAATACACATACAAGAACGTTGACAACCGTCGCTGACATGAATATTCAGTCGTATTTTTTTTTTTCATACCTAGCCATTATTAATTAGTATTAATAATTATTACACTCCCTAAAAGATTTTAACTTTTAAATCTRTTTTTTTTTTTTAAATTACACTAGCTGTACATAGCCGAATTATCTAGAAATTAAACGAACAAGGTGCTCTACGGTGTATTTTGTTTTAAGTGTAGCTAAATTCACAGGCAATCCATGRTGTTACTGTGCCTTGCTTTGTGGACATATCCAATTGAGATGAGCAATTTGCTTGTGCTTGAAGTTTTTCGGTTTAATTGCATTAACTTCACTAGAGTAAATCGGTTTAGTTTCTAAACTCGTGAATAATAAATGAACAGAATACAATTTTTGAAAAGGGACCTAATATGGACTCTGAGATCCAAGTTACAAAATTAAAACTGCTACCGTTTATTTCGAATAGCCATTGGTTACATAATGTCAGGGAAACCATAAGTATTACTTAGTGTTTTAAGAACGACATTTATGATTCATATGATTGTGTTCAAAAAATACTTTATAAAAGTCTGGCAGAGACGTACGCAACTGAGTGTAGACACCGAGCCACACCAAGCTACATTTCTAATTAATATTTCAATACCAAAATTAAACAGCCATTCAGTAGGTGTTCAGTTATTCTTTTTTTTCACTTGGGTGTTCAGTTATCAGTGTCAAGTGTTCTTCTTCAACAATTAAGTAACTATAGTAGATGTCTTCAATTATGTCAATTCAATAATAAATCTGTACCTAATTTATACGAAGAAAAAAATTTTGAGCAGATATATTTCTTACCTATTCTGGTACCAATATTTACCACACAATTGTTTTAATAATCGTATTAAAATAATTTCAAAATAAATGTATATATTATATTATTTATTTATTTAATTTATTTATACTTTTATAGTTTTATTTGTGTTTTATCAGTTATCTCAATAAGTACCTACTGGGAAATTTCAACTTTTGATTTTCCCAAAGTTCAAATAAGATCCAATTTAATACTTCTTATGAAGTTAATGGTTAAAGCATTTTTGTACTGAGAAAGTGGTTCCAAGCACAGTTAAAATTAAAAATTTAAATAGTCATAGTAAAATCGATAACTCCTTGTTCCACTCAGAAACTAAAATAAATATAATACCATTATTTATTTATTGAAACACCTACTACGTACAATCAAGTATTCTAAAAATAAATTACTAATAACAATTAATAGGTATTAATTAAGAAATAAATTTTATTTTTCTTCACAAATAAACAATAATTAATTGGTATGACGATAATGTTTAAATATTAAGCCAGTAACGGAGTTAAAGATTAATTTAAAACTATGTATTATAATTATACGATTTAAAACAATTAGTTCAATAACTACTCAAAATCACAAACAAAATAAATAGATTATTTTGAATAAAAAATTATATATAAAATTATAATAATATAGGACTGACCAGTGACCAACTTGATTTTGAAAATTTGTAGTATTATGGGTGGTTACCGTAATACTAATACTACATACGTTGATTTAATACTTATAATATCAAAAATAAAATAAAGCCACAAATTTTGGTAGGTCGGTACACGATATTAATAATTATGGTTTAGCTTATAATGATGATGGTCTAATGAAGATTTATTATTATAATTATTTTTTTAAGTACATTTTCTGAATATTCATTGTCAAATTGCAATACTTGTATATATCAACAGAGGTTATGGCGTTAAGAAAATTAAATAATAATTGTATACCAAGATTATTATTTATTGATTAAATTACGATTTTTAATGTACAATTATTTTGTTTTTGGAAACTATATTTTCACGAATTTCCTATATATGATTTAAAACGATAATCATCACGTATTATTCGGTATTTTTAATTATTATAATAATATAATGAAATATTGAAATTTATAGCTAAATATTTTGAGTATTATTATATTTTGTTTTGTGTAATTATATTAGAATATTTAAGAATTATTTTAATTCGACGTCGTTTTTCAATATGAAAAAAATTCTATAATTTTCAACAAAACCACGTACTTACAATTTTAAAACGTAAACCAATTTTTTTTTTTTGCAACTAATATGTATTACAGTATAATAACCAATTGAAATAATATAGTTACAGTTCATTGGTTGCCAATTTTCAGTAAAAAATATATCATGTTGAATATATTGTGTACTCTGTGAACAAATATTAATTAGATACAAGTACAGTACATGCATACCATTATGTATAAAAATATAATTTTTTGAAAAAAGTAAAGGTGACCTTTTGACACAGTTTTAAAGAGAAGGATGGTAAAATTTAAACGGACCTGTAAAGTAAACGCTAGCGTCCCTTTTAAAATTACTGTTGAAATACCTGTCCCTGTATGAAAGTCCTCAGCTAATCTAAAAGTACCAAACGACCCAACTTAGTGAGGGATCAATAATCGCATTCCTTATTCTACTACAAGTAATTCAAAATGATTGTTCTTTTTTCTTTTAAACTATTTATTAAAATGTATTATAAACTATACCAAGTAATTTTTATTTATAAATTCAATAATAAGTACGAATATGATAAATATATAATGACGTTTATTTATTATAAAATCGTAAATAATATTGTCATGTTGCATTATATAGCTTTAATTTTACAAAAGAAAAATGTGTATTATATTATTTTTCATTATTATTGCGAAATCTCTAATGGTGGTTGGAATAGCTTGAGCATTACTTCCTTAAAAAAAACTGTTCAAAACTACAGTTTCAAAGAATGTATACTTTTTCTCCTTGTCACTCGTTTCATTTAATTTATTTAGATTTTGGTACTATTGTAGTCACATAATATTGTGAATCAATCTTTTTAAAATAAGGGATGAAAAACTTAATTTACTACAAAAGAAAAATCATAAATATACAAAAAGAAAGAGAGACCTATATTGCGATGAAAAAGATAAATTTTTGGTAACTTAAAAATGTTAATTCTGTATCCCAAATGAAATAATTAAACCTTATTTTAATATTATATATAAAGATAGACATGTATCTTTTTTCTATATTGTTTAGATTCTGGTAGGAATGTATTGGGTTCACAACAATATATATTCTTTTTTCTACTTAAATTAGTTCAACTTTAAAAAAAAAAAAAATAGTATTAATATAAAGATACTATAATGTAAACTTAAAAATTCTCCAACTTTTCTTAGAAATAGATGCTGATTCATTCAGAATATGCATGGCTCAAAATCATTTTCATATATTATAATGTTTTACCTTGAGTTCATATCTAATGCATCTGTTACAATGAATTATTTTCAATTATGAATTCCTCTTGAAACTCAAATGAGCAAAAAAAGTTTTTTAGTTGCAGTAGTTATTTTTTCCATTTAAAAGCAAAAAAATGTGAAATATAATATTAATTTCAACTGCAGAATGTATATATTTAACATTAATCTCCATAGTAAGAATCTGAATCAAAAATCAAATCATAATCCAACAGAGTATTTTAACTACAAATACTGCTGGAAAATTTAAGTGACTTATATTTCACCAATTTTTTTAAATATTATAACTCAGTAGAAATAATTAATAACTTAATTATTTAAATATCATCATTGATTTAATTAAACAACTTGATACCACAGATTAAATTTGTTTTATATAATATGTGTTGATACCGTACATAATGTATCCAGGATGATTTAACAATTTTAACAATCTAACTTTATTATTTAATTATGTATTTATTCACATTTTAATTGTTCGAATTCTTAAGTATATTTAAATAGGTAGCATATTTTTGAATGCCGGCTTGAAATTTTTATAATGTCCTATTACAAAACAATTTGTTCTAAATTATATTGATATTTTACTTGTAGAGATTATATCAGCACACGATTGTTTTCRCTCTGAAACAATCAAGATACCAAATTCACGATTAGCTGAATCAATCTGTTATTTTTAGCGTTGATATTCGAGCAAATATACTTATTATCTGTGAATATCGATGTTAAATTTACAATATTTAAATATTTCTTTTTATGGGTACCTTTTTTAAATATTTCCCATAGGCACTCTCACTTACACACAAATAAAAAAAAAAACTATTACTTGCAATAGCGCCATGTGTGCTAAACATTTTAAGATTATATTAATATTAAAAAAAAACAAATTAAAATATCGTAAAAAATACAATTAATGTACAAACACAAATAATGTTTTAAAATTATGATTGATGATAAGTAAAATCACTGAAATAATAAAAATTATTGGGTCTACAGAACGCCAATTTGCAGTTTTATGCTTGGTTTGGTGCCCTAGGGAGCAATTTGTGCGATGACGTTGTTTTGTCGAGGTTTCCTGATAATATTAATAAGTATTGATAATTTCTAATAAAAAAACTAATAACTAGATCTGATTTAATAATGTAATACAATATTTTTTTATATTTTAATAGTAGAAAAAGTGGTTTCTGATGTTGAAGTAAAACCTGATAATGCCACCCGTGAATAAAATATCGTTTGTTACATGTTTATACGAGTAGCAAAATAAATTCCAACAAAATTTAAATTCACGCAATCATATATTTATATAATTATGTATAATACAGTAAGTGTATAGCAATTCAAACATAATTTACAACTAACATAATATGATTAGGGAAATATGATAAATTAATATAAATTATTAAGTTAAATACATTTTCTCCCGAACCCCCTCAAATACGACTTTATATTAGTAGTACCTACTCGTATGTTACGTGAAGTTTTTCGTACAAAAATGGTAAATCAAAAATATTTTTACACGTATTGTTTAAACAATATTAATTGTACTGCCTTGTATAAACACAAGGATGGTATATCCTTATCCCTTGTATAATACTAACATAAATATTCTATTTTTTACAGCGATCGTTTTGTGGAAACTATTCAAACACTGGATATTATAAATATGAAAGATTTAGTACAGAAATGTCAGTTCTACAAGATAACGCTGAAAGAGTCATTACCATTCATTCCAAAGGTACGTTCTACGACAGGTCAATCTTTTAAAAGTACCTTTATAATACAATATTATATATATATATTTAAACTATAATATGATTAGTATGATTATCGGACACGTGTCCTAACTCTTAAATAAAATGATGTTCTGATTCATGTAGCTATGGCACGTACCATTTTTTATCGTTAATCAGTTTGCTACCAAGTTTATAATTAAATGGTTTTACAACTTGAAATAGTTTGAATAAAAGAGACGTTTTAATATAATTATGAATTGACAAAATAATTATATTACATATACAAGTCCAATTGTAACCATACAAATATTAATATAGATGAACAATAACATAGGTAGTTATTTGTAAAATAAATAAAAACAACACAACTGTTTATAGATTATAATCCTGTCATTAAAATATGTTCGATGAAACCTGACATGGACATACCTAAATAATTGTTGATAATTTATATTACTGTATCACTGTAGTATACAACACGATTAAAAAGCTGATATATCTTTAATCGTGGTACACAAGTATAATTTTATCAACCAAATATTGCTGTACCTCAGAAAAAGTATTTAAAAAATAGGTATTTTTGGAAACAGATTTTAAATATTTACCTTACTTTTTATACCTGTTATACAAAACAGCTGAGTAGCATATTTTTCATGTAGTAATATTCAATTAGTTTTAAGTTTGACTTCCTGGAAATATTAAATATTTCATATTTGTACTAGACAAGTCAGTAATAATTTATATCAATCACGGTCTATCGTGGATATTGTTTTACAAATTTACAATTGTATTCATGTTTTATCGGCAAACACTTAGGTGAAAATTAGTATCACAGTATGACAATCTCTAAATAGAACATCCTGTTCTTAACACACATTGTTTTACATTCAATCTATCAAGTGTCATGATTCATGAATAATCTATCGTAGTTATTATCAGGGCCCGTGTGTGAAAATACATTAAGAATCTTATAAATTACCGTACTATTATAACTATTACCTATACCGCAAAAAATACTTGAACATGGTGTCAAAAATAATTTAAAATATGCTAATAAACTCCTAAAAATTAAAAAAGAAATTTAATTTACAATAAAAACAAAATATCAAATATGGTAACTYATTATTATTGATTATTGTAAATTTTTGAAATTACTTTTAACTTAAATGGTACTAGTACTTTTGTATTACTTATTTGTATGCATCTATTAGTCATTCGATTTAACTCAGAAACTATAATACAAATTAATTAATACAATTTTGAATAATATATTCAATGGAATAATTTAAATTAATCTAAGGAATTCTAAGAAATTGCACTATCGGTGTTTGCTAATGAAAAATATTTCACATATTCTTGGCCAGGAAACCATCGTCTAAAAATTTCGAAAAAAAATCCATCAACTTCTGATATTTATTTATTTATTTAAAATCAACGGGCCTAATCCCTTTAACAAAGAAAGAAAAACAATACATATGAATTGGCACAATATGAATACTAATAGATAAGTGATAATAATAAAAATAAAAATGGCAAGAAATAAAAAGACAAAATATAATATGTCTATAAAACAAAACTAAACTAAATAATTAGGTACCATGTTTTAAAAATAACAAAGTTTTAGTTTTAAATACTTGACGAGACAAAGCGAAAAAATCCTGTGGAGATTCTATTGACGTTACAAATGTCTCTTGAAAAAAAAAGAATTTTTCCACTATTTGTTTTAAAATTAGGTATATGAAACAAATCAGAATTTCGTGTATACGTACTAGAAATTCTAAATGTAAGTGTACAACCCGCTCGTATGTTATCAATATTTGTATTAGTTAAACTTAATCTAAAATTTCATTACGGAAATTGTATCCATTATTAACTTGTTTTAGACCTAAATAACATAAATAAGATTGTATAAACACATTAGCAACCGGATTATTATACAAAGCATATTCCGACCAAGGGAAGCCAAACAAATTAAAATCACCGATAATTAGGACATTTAAAATAGAGTAATAATAAATAATATTTTCAACTATCTCACTGTGCTTTATATATATATATATATATATATCCCTGTGTGAATATGGAGGTATGTACAAATGTACACACAATCTAATAATATATTACCTAATTTTATTGTACTTAAATAGCACAAAAATGTGTTGAATTCCAAAAACATAATAAACATTTATTAAAGAGCAATCAAAATTATTCTTAACTGTGAATAAAACACCACTATCTCTACTATTTAACATATTGTCTCTATTGTCTCTAAACACGTTATAATTTCAAAGCCCTAATTCCATGTTACTAATTAAACCAAATTTCAGATAATTATAATAAATCACAACATAAATTACTAATCGAATCACGGAAAAGGGAAATTTAGTTCTAACACCTGTAAAATGTTGGTACATTACTTGGAGTTTAAAAAATTCTAGGGATTAGATATTGAAACTTCTGCATCTTTTAMAATTTGTGGGATTCCTATAATAAATTTGATTATTAATCCACTTTCGCCATTGGATGAACGGGCAGCCAGCTCTTCACGCATCTTCCTCATGGAATCTCTTTGAAGCAGAATACCATCCGAAATAATATTAATCAAAAAAGGAGGGACATAAGTAGAGAGTTTTCGTTTATTTTTTAAAATATCTAAAGTATTTAATAACATCGAAAATACAGCTTTAATTGGGCGCAATTTTCCACTTTGATAACGACCCAAATGAATAACATTCAACGGTACAATTTCAGAGTCCACACCAATAAATTTAATAGTATTTTTAATCTGATTAAAATCATGAGCAATACGTTCATCTGATTGATTAGAGTCACATTCTTCAATATTATAAAAAATGAGAGATTAGTTGCTCGACTATGATCATTAATTTCATTAATAATAAACTCACTATAAAATTAATGATTAGAATTAAATGAGTGAGAATTTTCAAACCTTCAACTTCAACAAGTAATTTTGGTAHTTATTAATAATTTTAATTTAGGCATTTCTTTAAGACCATTTTCACAACCAGCGCAGAAATACTATAAAATTCTATTTTTTAAAGACATACATTTGATTTCCTATGTAGTAAGTCCCGAACATTTATTATGAACAAGAGTAGCACATCCGTCACATTTTATAAGTAAATCCAATTCATCGAATCAAGTATCTAAAAATATACACTCGGTATCAGCAGATATCTTATAAATTTAAATTGAAGTTATCAAAAAAAGCTGTAAACAAGTAATTGAAAATTGAAAATTAATCGCACGAAACACATGAAACCAGAAACACACGTCTAACCACTACGAGTACCAACTGATAACTAAATTATCCTCTTTCACCACGTCATAATAATTAACAATTTCGCTTATCATTTTGAAACTAGCAATTTTATTTAGAACTAAGTTTGATTTATTTTTAAAGCTGTCACTGTGTTACCCGTGATTTTTCTTGATTATGTAATTTATTAATTTAATTGAGTCAAAAATAATTTCAGTACTTCAAGTTGTTACTTTGTCATTAGTAAGCATTCAAAGTTAAATTGATCTACACAGCATAGTTAGAGATTTTAATATACCATGAGTTTTTATTTCATATTCCTACATCAAATAGGAATTTTACAACACATTTATTTATTAATTGATTAAAAATGTACAAAATAGTATCAAAACATTTTCTACGGTGAGTTATCCTAGGTTCTATTAGTAATGCTAAATCAATTCAAAATGTTTTAAATATTTGTATGGGATGGTGGTCAATCGGTCAACAAAAGATTTCAAGTAAAAATTACCGACGATAAAAATATTCGAAAAAATTTTCTATTTTTATTTCTATGGTTAAAATATCCAGAAGAATGTATACGCAGTGAAATTATGCCAAGTAAAATGTTTATGGTAAAAATATTAAAACTGTCCGATCTTAAAAATATCTAAAATTAAATGAGAGTTTCAAATGGAATTAAAAAAGAACATAATATTTAGTATATTATATTTGCAAAATTAAATTAGGTCAAAGAATAATTTGAAAACTTTCATTTGTTAAAAGTTTAGTTGTAAATTTATAGAAAAAAATTGAAATCAAATTGTATTTTAATTAAATATATAATAATAAAGTAGTAGATAAGGAAAATTTTTTATTAATAAATATGTATATATTTATCTATTGTTTTATTTTCAATGTTGTAAATACAACTTAAGTTTTAAATAGCTGGCATTTACTTACCAATCTATCTCATTTTTATACATTTTATCATATTATTTTCATTTTTGATTCTAATGGAGAACAGTAAATAGTTTCTTTTGAACAATTTTTCCACGGACATTTTTTATTTCAGATAATACATTTTACTATTTAGGTAMCCCGAACATTTTATTTCGGATATTTCTTCCTAGTTAGAGTTGTTTTAAAATTAACCACTAAATCATCAACAATTTTCGGAAAATGTGAACGAATATCTTGTATAATTTATTATTATTGTTATCATTATTATACATAATGTTATATAAGTTATAAATAAAATTGTTAAAATAGTTTTTCACATCATCCTGGTTGACCTTGGAAGCAGCATTAATTTTGTTATTACGTAGCAGATAACTTAGTCGGCCATCTTCACGGTTACGCGATATCGTGTTCGGGCATAATTTGTTATATTATTAAATTATTATGTTGCTTTGCGAGAATGGAGCAGAAATACGTGGATACCGTACGGCGGCAGTCCGTACCGTAGACTCGCAGATTACAAACCCAGCTGCGACTTTGTCCGGCCGATTGCGTGTGCACTGTGCGTGTTGGCTGTCTAGAGAATTACTACGACGACTATCCGCCTGGAACAAACTGACAAAATGCAAAAACGTCAAATGCCACGTGCATACACACTACGTATACTATATATGCATTAGACTACGTAGAACATAATAATATTATGTCACGTTTAGTAAGCCTGGGCAAGTTGGTGATAATTATTTCTAACTGGTCACAATCAGAATATAAAAACAAAATAAT